AGGAAGAAATGCTTTTTTCTTTCACCTTTTAACAATAAAGCGCACATTTCTAAAATTTTGTAGACTAGTTGTCTTTTTTTAGAACATTTTTTGCTCAAGTTGTCTTTATTAAATCCAATGTATACAGAAGCTGAGAAAAAAATTGTTATACTGAATGTTCGGAATTTTTTTCCTTCTTGCGGCTCCGCATTCTTACATTAGTGTCAGATACATATGTTTGAGGAAAGGGATGAATGAAACGAAATTTACTTTAAATTCATGGAAAACTTGATGGGAAGGAAAAAATGAAGGAGGAGAGGAAAGGGGAGGGGAGAAGGAGGAGGAGGAGACGAAGGAGAGTAACAGTGATGGACTGTTTACCCGTAGTCAATCACCACTTTTACCACTACAGTGCTTCCTTGCATTCGCTGTTATCTGTCGACAACAAGGATAAATTTAAGGAGTTCCTTCATTTTCTGTTTCTTTTCAATCCAGTGATGGCAAGAGATAACAGGTGGGAAGTAATTTCAGGAAAAAATTCATAGGAAATTAATGAAAATTAACTTCTGAAATCTTTTTATCTTTAAATTCGGAATCAGCAAAAAGTTTTGGTTTGCTTGTTTTGTTTTGCTTTGTTTTAGCTGCAGTAGCAAATAGAAGCAGTATTTAGAAAATTGCCTCTTAAAGCTACTGCGGATTGTGGATAAAAAAGTGATATTGATAGAAAATGGCAGAACGAAACTACGGATCTGCCTAATGCCGATTTCATCGCTGTTTTTGTTGTTACTACCGCCATGTGTTTGTTTGTGTGTGTGTCTGTGTGTGTCTGTGTCTGTGTATGTGTCTTCATAAAGATGATCAGAATTGATGATCTTATCATATTTTTGCTCCTGAACAACCGAACAAGTAAGTTGACTACTGCTGAGATGAACTTGGATATAGCGGTAGTTGTTTGTATAATGCCGTCGTCAAACGATTTCAGAATTTTTTGTTGTTCTTCGACGTATCTGCAGTTGCAGTCGTTGAATTTCTAATTTTTTTCCGGTAGAAATATTGTTGCTTACTTCACTTTTTTTCTATATTATAGATTTGAAAAGTGAAGAAATTTTTTTACATTGCTCTTTTACCCTTCAATTCTGTTACCTGCAGTGGTAAACTGACCTTAGCAAATAGTTGCCTATCTTTTTAATTTTTCAGATACTGATAAATGAATATCTATTATTGTTATTATTGTAGTTTTAGCTTCAAAACTGCTGTTAAAGACACTACATTTTGAGTACTAGGAAGTAATTTAAAGCTGTACAATAGTCAATTGTTAACTTCAATAGTTTTCTATAAGTTTACGAAGATAGAGTAGTTCCTTGTTGAAACTGTGAGAATCACGCGCTTTTTATACATTTATTTATAACGACATCATATTTTCAAAAATGAAAGTAAGATTTTTAATGCAATTTCTAATGACTGTAGCTTTTCTTGTGTTTATACGTAGAACTCAGCCTATACATATTTTTGCACTCAGCAAAAAAAAAAAAAAAATAAAGTTAATGTAGACATTCTGTTCATTTCTTTGAAATGTAATATGACCAAATTAATTTCTTGTGAAAAAAAAAAAAAAGAGAAAGCAGGAAAACCTTGGGCTTTCTTCGAATCTCGTTTGACAGCAGCATTACCTGTCAAGAAGGAGCAACTTGCCGCCGGTGTCGTTTCGGAACCAGAATGGGAAAAGAAGTAAGGAAAGAGAGGAGGGTTGAGGAAAATGGTATTAAACAACAAGGAACGATAATCGGTGAGAGCGGACGGGAAGGAAGAGTCAAAAAGTGAGGCAACAGCAACATCAGCTGAACAGCTTCATCACCAATTTCACTTTTGGTGAAGGGTAACTAGCATTATGCTATAACTGGGCAATTAGATTGAAATTCATCCATTTTTGTTAGCTATGCTACAGTTGTAATGCTGAGTTACCCTTTCTCCTTTCCCGTCCGCTTACTCCGTTGCAACAGCAGCACTGTGGTTAATCTGAATGTGGATCTCTGAGCTATTGATGAATGACAACCGGAACACCAGTTTGATATCAGCTTTCGTGGAGGCAATTTCAGTTCCTATTAATTACGAAGTGCTGTTGTGTTGTTGGTTGGGGTTTATAACAAACAAACAGATATACAGATGGGCATATAATCACACAGAGAAAATGCTGATCTGTTTGTATATGTTTTGTTTTGTCTATTTCTTTTTCAGAATCTAACTGTCTCATTATCTATGTGTTGTTATTTGTTTGATGGCGGTTATCCTTCATCGGGAATTATTGCCCAGTGTCGTTTTGCAGGATAGTTCTCAATCGCGTTTTGCAGAATAGAGAATTTTCCTTTTTTTTTTTTTTTTTTT